ATAATACAAGCTGCTTGAGTGGCACTTTTATTCACTGATGCACAGGTATTATTTGAAAAACATAATTTAGAAGCTGAGCCACAGTGATTACCCCTGTCTTTCATCAAATAAAGGATTAGCACTTTATTTACTGAAAAAAGACAGATGCCTGTCAGAGTTTTAGATATGCCATATACAAAAAATAATAATGAACTCCACACTTTTTATCTCTATTTATTGAAGTGCTTCTGTATTTCTTGGTGGAACTGAAATGGATAAGAGAGAACTTTCTATTTCAGAACAGTAGGAATTAATAGGACATGAGGCATTTGACATAAGTTCTTTTTGGGCAATAAGAAATATCCTGTTTCCTTGGCAAATAAATGAATAACTCATTTTTAAATATTATTTTACCTTCTCCAGAGGGATGCATTGTGTCACTAGTCTCAGGGTTGATAACACTGGAAAGTATTATGTTCAGTCCCCTTTTGTGGAAATCCCACAGTGCAATTCATCATCGCATGGAGGCATGAGAAATATTAATTGAATGTTTTCTCTGTGCTGGGCACTGGAGATGCAATAATGAGTAAGATCAAAACATGGATTTGAATTCCAACCCTACCACTTACGAACATAAGAGCTATGCATCTTTGCACCTGTTACCTCACATGAAAAATAAAGATAATGAGAATATCTACCTCATAAAGTTGCTGTAAGATAATTAAGTAGTATTGCAGGCAAAACTTTAAAGCAATATGTGGCAATGTGATACATGCTCAATGGATGTTCTTATAACAGACACAGGGAGATTCCTTTTATGTTGCTCATCTCCTCTAAAGTATGCTCTTATGTGGATTTGGTGACTGGGAGGAAATGAAGAGCAGAATGCAACAGTGTTTCATTGGGTTGACACATTGTGAGAACCAGTGGATGATGCTCTGCCACCTAGCAGGGTGTTGATCTTGGTTCTTTCACCTTTTCAGTTTTGGTAGCTCATCTCTGCTCCATATATAATAAATACAACAGCACAGGGTTGTTTAAAGAATTAAAGCAAAGGATTCATGTGAAGACATTTTTTTAAATTATAAACTGCTATACAAGTATAAACTATTATTGTGAGCTTTTGATTATCCACTTATGGATGACTTCATCCGTGGTTGATTTACCAGTAAATTTTCATGCAAGACTGATTTTTTTATTTATATAACTACTAGTTTGCCTTCTGTCATTTCCCTAGCTGCCCAGGGGCCCTGCAATGAGAATACCCAAATATATTTTAATAGTCTAAGCCAATGTAAAAGAACATGCTTCTGTTTAAAATACTGCTATATTTCAGTGAAAAAAAAATGCTTGTTTATAAATTATTTCATATCATAGCCATCTTGTGTTCCCAATAATTAGCTTTTCACTTTTATATTACGGAAATATAAGTTATCATTGGATTGTAACACTTTCCATTTCAAACATTTAAATTGTAGATAGAAAATATGTAGTATGGCTTACAGTTTAAAAGGAAGTTTAAGCTATAGTAGAATTACATACAATTTCATAGGTCTTAGTTATAACACTAAGAAATTTTGGCACACACCAATTTTATTTGACTCTAATCCTCAGTGCAATTTGAAAATGCATGGCAATGTATGCATATGCTCCCTCATCCATACTTTTTCTAATTAAAGAATGCAATCGAAAGGTATTACATATGGTGCAGGAATGGGAAGAACTAATAACATCTTATTTTCTAAACAGTAACATGACTATATATTACATCTGTTTTATGAACTGTTGGGAAATGAAGGGAAATTGCAGGAGTCTTTTTCTTTCCTATTTCTTCCTTTTATACAGAGTAAAATTACCCTTAGTTTGAATTTGTCATTTATTCTAACCACAGGATATAGCTTATGATGTTAAGTTTAACAAAGGACAACAACGAAATCGCTTTAAGGAAACTTATGAATGTATTTGCAGAGGCTGAATGGGCAATAAAAATAGTTTGGGGATTAAAAGTGAAGAGAGAAAAAGAGAAACTAGTTCCAAAGAGGTTTGGAAATGAATGATGACAGTTACAATGTTAGAAGTCAGAATATTGGACCAGACAAAAAGACAAGAGGTCTTGAAGAAAGCCTAACACAACTGACATCATACAATTCATTTATTTATTATCTTAATACAGAGAGGAGAGAAGGAAGTATTTTTGAACTACATAGTTAGGTCATTTCAGGTTCTTTTATAGCAACACGTTTTTCTTGCCAAACTAACCCCCAAATCCATCTATACATTTTTCTTCATTTCCTTTTTTCCCTCCACTTTTATTTATGTTTAATGAGTTGTAGATACAAACTGCTCATTCATTTTACTTCCTTCCTTGACCGTTGAAATATTTAAAGATATTATGCAGATTATGCATTGAACATATGATTTGATATAGTAAATCCAGATTCTGTTTTACCACTTTTTTCTTTTTACTACATGCTTAAAATATCAAGGAGGATTAATCATCTTTATTTGAATTATGTATTAATTCAGTAGCTGTTTACTGAGAATTTATTATGTGCCAGGCACTGAGGTTGTAAACGATAGAGTGGTAATCATGTTTCTTGTACCCGTGCAAACCGTGTTTGTTTGTCTGTTTTCAGGGAAAGGAAGCTTCTAGAATTAGATGATAGACAAATGACTGGCTAATCCTAAATGTAACTAAGCGTTTTAATGACAAACTCTGTTTGCCTTGTCAGTTTTTGTTATGAGAATATGATTTGTGTGCGCTTGTTTCAATTTAAATTATGGGATTGTTTTACTTCCATCTTGAAAATAGCAAATGCATGATAAATGAGCTACAACCAGTCATGACATAGGCAAGACCGTAATAATTTTTTCCAAAGAACTGCCAAGTAAATTTTAATTTTGAGTAACCAGCAAATAACAGAGGCAAGCTTTACTTATGGTAGAGCTTATGTCAATATTTCTGAAATTAGGTCAGGACCAAAGAATTAAAAGCAAATGTTTAGCTAATGACAATTAAGAAAACAGAGGTGAAAGGTCTTTGAAAAATAAAAAGGAGTCCATTAAAGTATAACACAGTATTTACTGACCATAATACCTTAACAATACCTTCTACCACATATTCTATTTTCTTCATTAAGTATTTCTGGAAGAGAGAAATACCAGTCACCAAGAAGTTAGGATATTTGCTTTTAAGTATAAGAGCAACTAAGAATTTTATTTGAAATAAGACTAAAGTTGCATGAGCATACATTTAACATTTCAGAATATAAATACCTTCCTTTATAATTCTCAAATAAGATATCTATTTAGAGCTATTTCAAAGAATAAAATCAGTTCTAGAAATTTTTTTGTGGGCTAGTCTTTGAAAATGTCAATATCAGTATGATTTTCCACTCCTAGCTTCTATATCATAATGAGCCTCAAGTCCAAGCCTTTGAAACTATTGATTAAATAATTGTCTAAGGCTCTTAGTTATGCTTCCAGTTGTCAGTATGAACCCAAGTTTGTTAGTATTCCAGTCATAGCATGAAGTGTATTTCTTAGGTAAAAATTTCCCTTACAGTCAGAAAACCCTGCAGTTAGTAAAGATTAATTGAGGATGATGATAAATTATAACAGTAGAATAGTGTTTTAAGAGTCCTAGAAATATTTACTGTTAAAAATGAGTTTTGTATATTAGTGAGATAAGGAGTCTAAAAAACATAAACCCATTTTTAACTTGTTAAGCATAACTTGATATATAAGAATATGATTAAGCTTTCAAAAAATCAATGAAGAGAAGTAAGTGTAATTTTGACAATAATTGAGGCCATGAGCTTAGGTCAAAGCATAAAAACCTCACCCAAATATAATACACAGAACAATATTTCTCCCTTGTTTTGAAACTTTCCTAGAACTTTAAATGTATTTGTCATGCATAATATCTCAGTTTATTCCTTCCTCTGAAATTATCTTTGATTTATATAACTTCAAATCTGTGCTTTTTAATTTTTAAGTTTGTAATATGGGCTCATTCTTCCCTAACTTTTTTCCTCTCTTTTTCATTGCTTTCTTTTTTTTTTTCCTTGTGATCTAGGAAAATTGTCCATGATGAGGAAAATATTTATAGGATTATAAAGTTACTACTTGATGAGTTTTGTGAATATGTTACAGTTTCCCAGAATTTTCCCTGACTCGTATAGATCAGTACCTGAAATATAATAATGGATTCTAATTTGAAAGATATGTAACCATGTTTGAGGATCTCAATTTATTCTTACATGAGTGTTGAAAAACTCAGTTAAAATTTTCAGGAAAGGGCAGAGCAGTGACTTATTATTTATATCATACTTCTAATACAGTTTTTTCTGAAAGGCAGTATTTTTCCACTATATTATAAAATATCGATGAGTGGGAGGAAGAGAGTTTCTTCAATAGGATTCTAAATCCATTTTTCATGGTGAGAGCATTCCCTGTTAATGGGTAGCCTCATGAGCTGCATTTCTCACAAAACTGACAAGCTATGGAAAATCTTAGGCCTTAGGAAATGACTGAGTCCTTTCTTCTGAAGAGATTCATTTCTGAGATGGATAAAATGTGATACTATTATAATGAATAGTATTATAAACTTTAGTACTTCAAAAATGAGACTAGTTAAACAATTTAAAAGTTTTCTGTGTATATTACTGAGATGCCTTTAAAATGGAAATATTGGTGTTCTTACTATGAATATTGTATTTCCAATTAATAGAGCTGAAAAAAGATATATTTATTTAATCTTAGATTGATTAATTTTTGCCTTATTTTTTCCAAGTTTGTACTGTATTTTCAAGCTTATAATATGATTGTCTTTAAAAAATAATTTTTCTAGAGGAATGGGTTTGTAAAAACACATATAATGTTCAATAAAGCAAGTATGAGTGAAATAAATTATTTACTTTCAGTTTGGAAGAGGTGATTAAAAAGTGCTTGGCCAATACCGTACCATTAATCTATTCTCTTTTCTCCTTTCTCTCTCTTTACTTCTCTCTCTCCAATAGAAGTGGAACAAAAAGGTAATTAAATACCTTTCATAAATTATATACTATTTATCTATTTATAGGCTAAGTTATTTAACAGTTTAACATTTAGTTAAATTAATTTCGTTATTAATTCTCATCTATTTATGAAAATTTATTTACTGCTTCTGCTGCTCAGCTTCACTGTAATTTGTTGTCCTGACCAGTGCTGGTTTGATTCTTTTATCCCAAAACAGTTTAATAGTGTGAAATTTTCAACTGTGTATTCTATTCCTCTTTATTTTTAAATAAGTAGTTAGAAATCCAGTAGATGGTGATGGATAGTGAATGCTTCAGATTTGTTTTTTTTTTTTCTATTCTAATTTGCCATAGCTCTGGTGTGCCTTCCCCTGTTTCTTTATTTTTTAACTATTAAGGGGAAGGAGAGGTGGTTTTCTTGAAATACCTTAAAATAAACTAGTTTAGTATCCAAGAGCTGACTATTAACTAACAAAATTTACATACAATTTTTACAACAATCCTACCCATCCTTTATAATTATAGCCATCATACTAAAAACCTTGAGAAATTATTCTAATCAGTTTTATTATTGAGTATAAATTGAAAATGGCTCTTGATCCTTGCTATGTAAGAGTTTGATAGTCAACTTTTCCCCCAAACTTTTCATTTCTCCTAAAGTAAAACTTTGGGCACTTTAATAATGTACTTTCCTTTTTAATAACCTCCAAATCCTAGCTGAGTTTTTTTTTAGGCTGTTTCTATTGTATCTAGGCATATGGTTTCTGTTAGAGCTAATGACTAATATCAAGAAAATAATACCTTTTTTCATTAATCATTAAAATGCAGGTAAACATCCAAGTTCCTTGTGAATCTCTAATTCCTCCACCCAGTATACTTACTATCATTTCAAACATACTAGTAGACTGCATGATTATGTTTCAGTGTGTTTGCTTTGCAAAAATAGCAGAGCAGTGTTTCCCACAGCAGGTTCAGAAGAATACTCCACTACTAAGAGGCTCTGTAGAAAGGGTCAAAAGTAGTTGGCAAAATGTGCTCATGCTTTGGAGATTCATTAATGTACCTAAGCTATTGGGATCTCCTCCACTGTTCTATTTAACACAATATGGGTTTATATGTGGCTAAGGATCCTCTTTTTTTCTTTCTGTGTAACATGTAGCTATACTGCTAGAAACAGGTGCCTCAAGGACCACCCTTTGGGAAACATTGCTTTATAGCCCCTTCATTACAGATCAATCAGCCAAGCTTTCCTACAACCACTGACCCAATGTGCTACTGAGTCATACTAAAAATCAACTGTACCAGATAATTCTTGCCCATTTCAGTCTGAAGTATGAGCAGCAAAATATTATAGCAAGTAATCTTGTTTTTTAATGCTCTTCTCATGTAACAGTAAAAGGTACATGTTTTTAAGTTCCAATACTACTGTATTTAACAGGACATTTTTAACTGATTAAAATCTAGATCTGGGGTTCTTCTCTGTAACCTTTCACCTTTTCTTCTTTCCTTCTTCCTTCTTTTCTTTCTCTTCCTTTCTCCTTTGCCTTCCAGTATTCATCCATCACTCATTTTAATTGTGTGGGTTGCATGCTCTGTGTGTGCTGTAGCAGCTTGAAGAGCTTTTTTGCTAGAAGATTCAGTGGCTTGTTTGCAGAGTTTTTCTTCCTTTGTTCTTATATTTAATTAGCATTAGATTTCTACATATTTCCTAATGATAAGTATTGAATAGCTAATCTCATCAGAGTGAAAACAATATTTTTTAAAATTTTTAAATAAGCTGAATAAAACCATCACATATAAACATTGGCATTTGCTATGTCTATGGAATACATACATCACATTTGTAGACATATGTCCCAAAATATTGTAATAAATGTGTACAAAGGTAAAAAACAAAGGAAAGCACAACTACTCATAAAAAGGCCATTTTTTTCAGCAAATGAGATCAAAATGATTTTAAACAAAAGTCAAAATAATGTGTATGACTATATTATGTTCTCAGAAGAATGCAGCAAAGTAGTTAAGTGGTTGGTGGGTAGTTCTTGTTAGAGTTGCATTCATGTTGGTGAAAAATAAGAATAAATAGCAAAATATTAAAATTAATATATTTATTATTTTAACTCTCTCCCTTCCAACAGTTTTTCTTTGTCCTGGACTACTAAAAGGAGTTTACCAGAGTGAACATTTGTTTGAGTCTGACCACCAGTCTGGGGCGTGGTGCAAAGATCCTCTGCAGGCTTCCGACAAGATTTATTACATGCCCTGGACACCATACAGAACTGATACCCTAACTGAGTACTCATCCAAGGATGACTTCATTGCTGGAAGGCCAACTACAACCTACAAGCTCCCTCACAGGGTGGATGGCACTGGATTTGTAGTGTATGATGGAGCTCTGTTCTTCAACAAAGAGCGTACCAGGAACATAGTAAAGTTTGATTTGCGGACTAGGATAAAGAGTGGAGAGGCTATCATAGCAAATGCCAATTACCATGATACCTCCCCTTATCGGTGGGGAGGCAAATCTGACATAGACCTGGCAGTGGATGAGAATGGGCTGTGGGTCATCTATGCAACAGAACAAAACAATGGTAAAATTGTCATTAGTCAATTGAATCCTTACACCCTACGGATTGAGGGAACATGGGATACTGCGTATGATAAAAGATCAGCTTCCAACGCATTTATGATTTGTGGGATTCTGTATGTGGTCAAATCTGTATATGAGGATGATGACAACGAGGCCACAGGGAATAAGATTGACTACATTTATAACACCGACCAAAGTAAGGACAGTGTGGTGGATGTACCCTTTCCCAATTCATACCAATACATAGCAGCTGTGGATTACAACCCCAGGGACAACCTGCTTTATGTATGGAATAACTATCACGTCGTGAAATATTCTTTGGATTTTGGACCTCTGGATAGTAGATCAGGTAAGTTTGATTTTTGATGGTTCCCAAGCAGGAAAATATTTACAGTTTGTTCTGATCAACTTTATTGTACTTCTTAATTTGACTGTCTTTGTGGTCTTTTTTCTGGCCTATGTAGTGAACAATGGTTCATTGTCTTTTCATCTCAATGAATGTTGCTGTTAATCTTCTGTAAAAATGTATAAGAAATTGATTCTTTCTCCTTTGAGCAGCTAGTATTCAATATTTAGACCTTCTTGAAGAGCGTTTTGATTATCAGCTGATTAATTCCTGTGTAGTGTAGTACACAAAATCTTTGCTAAGACAGAAAGCTATCTGTCTAATTAACTATGACTTGCCTTCACAAGTGTTCTCTACTTGGAAAACATCAAAGGGTTGGCTTGTATTAATGCTTCAGGAGTCCTACACAATATATTCATACAATTCAAAGTGTATTTTTTTATTCCAGTGCTTAAATGTTAATATTTTTATTTTCTCTATTGCTTTTACCATAATTTCACTATTAAGCTAATCTCATCTATTTTCTAACTCCACTCCTTTTTACACATATCTTCTTTTTATTGGATTTATTGGGGTGATATTGTTTAATGAAAATATAAAATGATCTAGGTTTCAGGTATACAGTGCTATAACACATAAGTGTATCTCCTTATACAACTAGGTTCAAAGTTCCCAATATCCAACAACCTTGTCTTACCCAGCCTTTCATTATATTTTAATGTGACCATTATTTTTGCCTTCTCAGACACTAGTGTAATATATAGCATATATAAAAATACTCGACAACTCTTTGATGAATGAATGAATGAATGAATGAATGAATTCCTTTCCGTTCCTTACCATAATAGAATGCCACATTAGGTAGCATTTTCTCTAATGCCTGAGAGGCTTCAGAGTGACAGCATTCTTTCCATGGCCAGCTGTGCTGATATTATTTAGAATTGCCTTTATGGAAGAAGTCCAACTATGTAAGAGCTTCAAAAGCAACTTCTCTTTACTCAGTCCTCTAGAATATCTGAACTCAAGTGAAGCACCTGACTCACCTCTGTGCAGGTAAGGTTTCTTAAACCAGTGCACCTTTCAGTTGAAAACCTAAGCAAAAATCAGTCATCCAGAAGATTGTGGGAAAACAATTTTTTTGAGAGCTGTGATATCCTTAATCACAATTTTTATTTTGACAAAGAAAACTCTGTTGATGAGTAGTCCTTGGCCTTTTTATTTTTACTTCTAATCGGGACAGGAAGTAATTTCTACTTGTCTCCAGAGAAATAATTAATAATGTAATAAGCTAATAGCTACATATCAACCCTACAAAAAACATTATTATCCATATTTTCTAAATGAGGGATCTAAGATACTCCAGCATATAATTGAGTCAAAAATCTTCCATCTGTTACAGTGCAGCCCAGTTTTAGATTCCCGCTCCCTTCTGTGACACTAGTGGTGGAAAGAATGGTTACTGATGCGAATCTAATTTGTAGTTCTCTCAATTAGATAATTACCTGGAATTGAATTCTAGAGTTCTTTAGTGGGCCTATTCTTCTGGGCAGAGTATTGAAAAATCTAAAACTTGTTCTCACTTTCCTCTCAAAACATTTTCAGAATATTATACTCTCTTTAGTTATTTTGCATTATCTTAAATGCATGTTTGCCAGCTTTATTTGAAGTTTTCCAGAATGAAATTAGTGGGAAAATGAATCAAAACTTGTTTGGTATCGCTATACAAATAGTTTGTATTTGTAAATTTTGTAGAAACAATTTTTAATGATATAATTAGATCTCATGCACTCAGGAATATACAGATAAAATATTTTTTTAATTTTTAAAAAACCTGTTGAAGAACTAGTGAGACTTTGGCTCACACTGAACTAATCATATTGATATTATTTTAGTAATTATTTACAGATTCTTAGTGAGTATCTAATAAATAATAGGTGATCTCTCAGGACTTGCTGAGTACTTTAAGAAACAAATGAATGAATTATATACAGGGTCTGGCAAAAATAAGGCCTGCTTGAGTGTGCTTAGTAGGGTAATTATAATATGGGATAATAATTTATAGTTTTAATTGGAACATTTCACTTAAAATGTCATATGGTGTGCTTGAGTATGATATTGTTATGTTACACACTTAAGATTTTGTAATAAAAAGGGGGTGTTATTTGTGTTGGACCCTGTTATGCATATATGTTTAAAATCTTCTTATTTAGAATATTATGGGAATTAGTCCTAAATTCTGTTTTATTGAGATTAGATGTATCTTTATATTTCCCCACACTTAAATATAATGTAGAAGATTTATAATTCACCTCAGTTATTCCCACCCCCACCTCCCACACGTAACTTCTTCCTTTCGGTGCTCAGATTGTGGTGAGCTGTAGTAACCTAAAGGAAGGGTTAGCAGGCAATAAGGAGAAGTGCCAAAGCACATTAAGACCTAATGTACTTTTCTCATAGAAATAATTAGAAGAAATTGAAGTCACCAGCCTTAAACAACAGAGAAGAAAGTGAGCAACTGTTCAATGAATTTTGTCTTCAGAATAGTCTCAGATTGTTCAGTTGATGAACTGCAGGATTTCTTCAACTTGGAGAAAGTGGAAAGTATATATATTAGAAATGTGTAAAAGTTATGTTCTATTGAAAAATACATTTTGTTTGTAGACCAGGTGATTCAGTTTTGGACACCTATAGTATACATGCTTGTAAGCATCAGCACCTGAGTTTGATACAAATGTGAAAGTGCTTCCTCCATTTTTCCTGAGAAGAGCAGCAAATTTAGAAATATCTGATCTAGAATTTTCTTCAAAAGAACTTTTAAATGAGCCTTGTTCCTATCTTACAAAAGATGAGGTAAATTATATATTCATCATTGTCTTCAACTGGCTGTTGTAAGATATATATTAAAAACCTCCAAATAATATTTGGCTATTTCACAGGTGGTTTGAGTGATTTTCAGGTTGACATTGTGATTCAGAAATAATACCTTACATCAGCAAATGTCAAGAATTTTTAAAACGTGCAATACTTGACTATTTAGTCAGGAGCACTGACCTCTTTTCCTATAGATTCTCAAATTTAAAACAAAAATGATGACAGCCAACACAGCATTATCCATCCAGTGTGAATGAATCGATATTATACCTATTTTTGTCAGGTTGGCAAAAAGTATTCCATATTTTTTATTGTGCCACACAATTTTAGTAATTAGTTTTATGTGTGCTATGAGATGAAAAGGTTGAAAATTGCTGCCTTATATATCGATCTGTACAGCGTGAGAGAATCACGTAATTCCAACACTTGCCTTTAGCTATTATCAGTGACTGCTGTTGACTTTCGCTATTTAGTTTTTTGTCCCAAACCACCTTGTGCCAGTTCACTACTCATTATTCATTAATAAATAGGAGTGAGGTGAGGTGTTTTTCTTGACTTTCCCAGTTTGTTTCTAGGCTCTTCATACAAAAATATAAACTTGTCAAATATACAAATGTTTTCCAATATTTCCTACCTAAGAGGGTGGGAGTCGGCTGAAGTTGATAGCAAGAACAGGCAGAGAAGTCTAGCTCCAAAATTTGCCTAAAATTAGTGCCTCTAAGAGATAAAAAACCCAAATTGGTTGGTTGACATTTAATGAAATATATCAAGCGATGAGTACAAACAACCCAATGATGAAGACAGGTAACTACTGTCTTGTATCTGCTCTTCTGCTTCCCAAACACAATCCACATTTTCATGAAAGCCATTTGAGATCATGTAAATGTGACCATTCTTATATGTGCTGAAGATAGTAGACTCTAAAATAACAACAGAAAGCCTACATAACACAGTTTAGCAATGCAGATAAGGTGAACCTTCTGTCCTTATAATATGCTAATTAAGTGAATTTGTGTCTCCAGTAAAAGCTGTGGCTATGTAATGATGAATAAGAACTTTAAACACACATGACACCTCGTTAAAATGTAATTTCACATTATATATCTGAGCCCTTTACTTTGACAGCTGAGTAATGTGAGTGCTAGGCAGAGAATCTTGAACATTTTGAAACTGACATGTTTAACAGGTAGCTGAATTTGCTTCTTGAATGGTTCAGTTAAATATGGTGCACCCTCAACACAAAAAGAGCCAGGAAACAGTGGGGTCTTATATCAAACTTGTCCTCAGCCTATGGGTTATGATTGCTTCACAGTTCCACTAGGGATGCCACGTTGTCTCTAAAGTTTAATCTATATCTGTGTTAGTAGCTGAGTGAACTTTACCAAAACAAAGAAAAAAAGAGGCAGCTACTTGTTGCTAATTTCATGCTGGTCTCTATTTTTATGCATCAGCTGTTTCCCTATCTGCAGAGAAACCCTCTCTCTTTCTCTCTAATTCTTACTTCTTTGTCACCTATAGTGGCAGCCACTACCTCAAGGGCATTGCTTCCACTGATTTTTCAGGGAGCACAGGCAAAACTTGCCACTTTTGCAGTAGCTATTTCATTGCCACGTACCATCAGATCAATTGTGTTCTGTTTGCTGTACCTTTCTTGTTCTTTTCCTTCTTCATAATTGAAAGTTAAACCTTTCCAGAATGGCACCTTTTACTTTTCAGGCTCTGAATATTAAAATCATATTCCTGTATGTACAAAGCAAAGCTGGACCCGGCTTTTACAGCTGAGCCCAGTGTAACATCATCAGTCTAACATCTAGGTGACCTTACCAATAAATTTGACAAGATACAAGGGATAAGAGGTTCCACAAATGTTACTAACTTATTCATTTTTTTCCTTGCAGAACAATGTCCCTGATAAATGTATAATTATGAGAAAGCTAATCGAAATCATATTTTACATGTAAGGCACAGTCAAAAAAAGATGAGTTCTTGCCCTGACTGTTATGGCTCAATTGGTTGGAACATTGTCCCGTAAACCAAAAAGGTCAATGGTTCAATTCCCAATCAGGGCACATGCCTAGGCTGCCAGTTTGGTCCCCAGTTGAGGTGCTTACAAGAGGCAACAGATCAGTGTT